CTGTGAGTTGGGTTGGGCAGAGGGTTGGCAAACAGCGGGCATGTGGCCGAATGACTAATTGGAGACTCCTAGAGGAGAAGCCAGAGGACCTGGACGGGCCCATGGCCCAGCGCCACAGAGTTCCTTCATCAAAACCTTCTAGAATCTTCCCTGCCTCGGGGCTTCCTCTCTCTGCACAGGCAGAGAGACAGGTGGGGATTAAAGTCCCCAGGCTGACCCAAGGCACACACACAGGTTGGTGGATAAGTTTCCCGGCAGGCTTCTCCACCCCTGGGTGGAGCAATCAGACCGCTCAGCCAGAGTGCTGCTAGCCAACAGGCCAAGTCCTGGGGACCCGCTGGGCACAGGGCAAGTCCTGGGGACCCGCTGGGCACAGGGCAAGTCCTGGGGACCCTCTGGGCCTGAACTTCTTGTGGTCTCCTGCGTAAACTGTTCCCCAAGACGTAACCTCAGGGTCTGATTTGGGGGAACCCAAATGGAATAAGGTCCCAGGCCACTGTCACTCACTGTGAGACTCCAACAGGCTGAACAGTTAACTTCTCTGGGCTGGTTTTTCCTCGCCCACCAAAGAATCTTGATGGTGCCCACACCCAGACACAGGTTCAGGAAGCCCCGTCCGTGGGTTTGGCCCTGGGGTTGTCCTCCCTGGGCAGGGGAAGGTCTGTGCGATGCTGTGGGGGCAGACATGCCACAGCCTTGTCAAAATCCACAGAACTGACTACACAGTGAGCGCTGTCGAAAACGAGCTTCAGCTGAGTCAACGGCATTGGTCTGTGAATCACGATGAACGAACCGCAAGATGGTACAGCAGGGGAGAGCAGGTCAGACTGTGGGACTTCTGCATTACTGCCCAGCCCTCCCCCTTTGAGGCAGTCGTGTGTAGCCCAGGCTGGCCTCCAATCCACTGTGTAGCCAAGGATGGCCAGTACTGGCATCAGAGGCATGCTCCACCTACCCAGTTTAGGCTGTGCTGAAGATAGCGTCCAGGACTTCCCACACGCTAGGCAAGCACCCCGTCAACTGAACTACATGCCAGCCGTCACCAGGACTTCCGGAAACTAAGATGTTCTAAAAAATAAAGTCTAGGGTAGGCATTAGAGGCCTGTAATCCCAGCACTCAGGAGGAGGAGGGTCAGAAGGTGCAGGCCATCCTCAGCTACATAGTGAGTTTGAGACTGAGACAAGCCTGGGCTACATAAAACCCTGTCTCAACAACAAAACCAAAAAACAAAGAAAGAAGAAAAGCAAATCCCCCCACCCTTTTTTTTTTTTTTTTGAGACAGGGTTTCTCTGTGTAACAGCTCTGGCTGTCCTGGAACTCTCTTTGTAGACCAGGCTGGCCTGGAACTCACAGAGATCCACCTGGAACTCACAGAGATCCACGCCTTTAATCCCAGCACTTGGGAGGCAGAGGCCAGCAGATCTCTGTGAGTTCGAGGCTTTGACTGGTCTAAAGAGTGAGTTCCAGGACAGCCAGGACTACACAGTGAGACACTCCCACTGAAAACAAAACAACCAAACAAAAACAAAAAACCCAAAACAAAAACCCAGGATCTCCTGTAGTCCCAGCTGGAGAGAACTGATCTTTTGTTGTTGTTGTTGTTTTTGGTTTTGTTTTTTGAGACAGGGTTTCTCTGTGTAGTTTTGGTGCCTGTCCTGGATCTTGCCTGGCTTGCCTTCCGAGTGTTGGGATTAAAGGCGTGCTTCACCGCCGCGTGGCTGCGAGAATTCATCTTATGGAACTCTGATCCTCTACTCTTTCCCAAGTTCTTATTTCATAGGTTTGAGCTGCCTTGTGCTGCCCAAATCCCTTTCTTAAAAATGGTTTAGGTTTGTTTTATGTGTATGAGTATTTGCTTGTGTGTGCAACTGTGTCCATGAGCATGCAGTGCCCTCAGAGGCCAGAAGAGGGCGTTAGACCCCCCCCACCCCACTCCCACAGCTGGAGTTACAGGTTTTGAGTCACCATAGTGGTGCTGGAAACCAAACCGTGTCCTCTGCATGATCAGTCAGTGATCTTACCTGCTGAACCGTCTCCCGGACTCCCAGGCGCTTCTCAGAGCACCAAGCCCTGCCTGACCCACTCAGCCTCCCTCGGCTCCACTCTCGATTACTGTAGCCGCAATGCTCCTGTCACGGGATCTTTGAACATCCCACTTTCTGTGTCTGGCTTGTCAGTCAAAGCCTGGGGCGTCCTCTGCCTCTCCCTACCCATCCCCTATGGTCCCAGCCTCTCTTGTGTCTCCACACCTACACTTCCACAGCACACAGCAATACTGCATATAATTTAGGGGAGTGACCCGGATCTGCACTAGAACCCCAATTCCAAGAGGGCAGGGTGTGTGTTCACGGGATCTCCATGCACTCTGGCACTTCCTGGAGCAGCCAGCGCACGTCACAGCCCCCCTCACCAGGCCCTTAGCCCCACAGTCCAGTGCTGCGATTGTTTTCTGTAGTCAGAGTGCCCCTTCCAGAGAAGGGTTCTCCAGCTCTTCAGGCCTGAGGTCTGGCCAGGCAGCCCATGGCTCAGCGTCCCATCTCCCCCAAGACCTTACAGCTCCCCGTGTCTGCCTAGGGTCAGGGCTGCACTTCATCAGACCCGCAGGCATGACTCTCCTGTTCCAGGCCCGGGAGCTGGATGGGATGTGGGAGGAAGAGGTCGGCTGTTCAGTCCGGGCCGGCTGCTCTCCATCTGGCCACAGGCCTCCCCCGCTCCCCCAGACAAGAGCCCCAGTGTCTGCTCAGCTCCTGGACAAACAGCAGGCCTTTCTCTCCTTTTCCACTCAGCGTTCTGGACTGTGACCCCTTCATGCCCCCTCCGGAGGTCATGGCACACCCTCCCCACGACCCCCTTACTTATGAAGAGTCTAGAAACAGGCCAGCCCACTTGGTGTGGGACGACCACGTGTGTCTCAGCAGTTTTCACTCCAGGCCAGGCGGTCTGGGCAAGGCTAGCTCGAAGGCTTCCTTCCTGCCAAGGTAGGTGTGGGTGCAGCTGGCGGCCAGAGCCAATCCCAGGTAGACTTGGCGTCAGTGTTTTGCCTCCTGTCAATCAAGGCCGACTCCTGCCCAGCCAGGCCCTGGGAAGTTTTCCAGGCAGCTTTCCTCCAGTACAGTTTCCAAGGCCCAGGATCCCTGTATCTGACTCCTTCTTGGCTGTTATGCCCAGAGCCCGGGACACACCCGCAGAGGCCTGTGCCGGTCCCCTCCCCCCACCCCAGGACTCTTTAAGCCCATCTGGGTATCAGGCTGAGGGGAACTCCCCATCTCAGACACCTCACATTGATAGCTCAACCTTGGTCCGTTAACATCCCAGCCCTGTGAAGCATGTCCCTGGGACTCCTTATTCAAGGATCGAGGGGATTTGGGACCTGGTTTGCAGAGATCTTGATAAAATTTTCTGTCTTTAAAAGCCTCATCCTTGGTCATCTGTACAACCCAAATTCCATGGCCAGATTGCATTTTTAAAAAATTTATGGCCGGGCGGTGGTGGCGCACGCCTTTAATCCCAGCACTCGGGAGGCAG